TCTGATGTAGATCATTTAAGAATGTGCCCCCATTTGTATTCTGGTTTCCTAGGGAAATGAAGCTTGAACAGTCAGATTGTGTAATGGCACCCTGCAGTTATTTTTGAATGTCAGTCTGTTCCAGTCAAGGTAACAGGCAGTTGTTAGTGCTGTCAAAGATAATAATTTTCGAAAAGTTTGTTAAATAAGGCAGATGGGGATACATGAGAGATGCTATTGCTGCCCCACAAAAGAAAAAGTTGGTAAGTTCACTTTCACTAGTATCCAACAACATTAACACTGAAAATAGCTTTTGTTAGTTTTGTTGATAAAATTGCTCATTATATTAAAAAAGAGCTATTTTTAAAAGGATTTAGATATGTGAAAAGGTTACTTGTAAGTATATGTAAGTAATGAAATTGAGCAGGAAAAAAAGTGTTTGAAACTTTTAAGGGATTAGGTAATAACATATTTAGCAGCTCTGTGTGAGACAGTAGTCTACTGTAAACATGAGAAACATGATTACTACTAGTATATAATGCAAATAGTTAATTATAAGCTTGTAAGTGTCAAAAATTATCTCTGTTTTTCTTTGCATAAAGTAATTTTAAATAGATTTATTTTCTGGTGTGTTTGAACACCAGTGAACTCCTCTTGGTCCAAATATGTCTGAACTTAATTTCCTTTGTTGAAGAGTTTACATATAATTGGGTGTTAATATAGCAGTTTTTGTAAATGGATATATTGTTCTAATCAACATACAAGCTAGTTTTTTTCAGATTTAAGGCACAGTTCTGTCAACTTAGTTTGGTCAGGGTTCTTGAGGGCAATATAGAAGTTTGACTATGGAAGTTTGCTTATCTAAAAAAGGCCAGGTCTGGGAGTACTCACTCCTAGGCTTTTGTTTCCATTCACAATTAAAATCAGACTTCTATGTTCAACTATTGTTTGCATTAAGTAGTGCTCAGTCTTAACTTACGGGTATTTTTAATGCTTTGGAATAATATTGGAGATCTCTAGGAACCGAGAGATGAGCTAGTGCTTCTAAATGATTTAAATGATGAACAAGGTGGTCAGAGGACCCTTGTAAACCTTATATTTGTTGGAAATGGTATTATCAATAAATTGTGGATAAATCTCCAGAAAAAAGATTCTCAGCATGAGTTCTAACACCCTGAATCACTTGAAACTTTCTATATAGCAAACTGTGCTTTGTTTCAGCTGCAGAATAATTTATTCCTTTCCTCAGCTTCCATGCCTGAACTCCTATGATAGCTACTGCAGCAATCAAGTAGCAGCCAAAGCTTTATTGGATCACAAGAAACAAGACCACAGAGTGCAAGATTTCCTACAGCGCTGCTTAGAGTCTCCTTTTAGTCGCAAACTGGACCTTTGGAATTTCCTTGACATCCCAAGAAGCCGTTTGGTTAAATACCCATTACTACTCAGAGAGATTTTGAGACACACACCAAATGATCATCCAGATCAGCAGCACCTTGAAGAAGCTGTGAGTTACTGTTGCGTTTGGGTTTTTTTCAGGAGATTATAGCACTTTTAGCTTATTAATGAATTAAGGGACACTACATAAAATATGGGAATGTTAATACTTACACAAACAGCTGAAACTAATACATGAAATATCTAGCCCTGTTCCCCCAATTAAATCCGATTTCAGTAGCAAAGTGATACTAAAAAAAAAAAAGGGGGGGGGGGGGGGAAGGTGTTTTCCACAGCTCTTGTCTGATCCTTGTTCACTTTGTATTTACCTTTCAATGTCATTTTCCATTCTAATTAAGTTGGGTAACGTGGACATTTCTTTTCAGGTTTTATTCCCTGGCTTGAGACCTTACATAACCTCTGAATCTAGATTAATTATCATCTGTGGGAATGTTGCTGAAATTTGCCTTATTCCATTTTTTATTTAGAATAGTGTTGCACTTTCTGAAGTAAAACCAGAGGGATAAATCTGTCGTGGTTTAACCCCAGCCGGCAACTAAGCACCACCCAGCTGCTCACTCTCTCCCCCTGCAGCCAGATGGGGGAGAGAATCAGAAGAGTAAAAGTGAGAAAATTCATGGGTTGAGATAATAGTTTAACAGGTAGAGGAAAAGCTGCGCACACAAGCAAAGCAAGACAAGGAATTCATTCACTGCTTCCCATCAGCAGGCAGGTGTTCAGCCATCCCCAGGAAAGCAGGGCTCCATCACACGTAACAGTTATGTGGGAAGACAAACGCCATCGCTCCAAACGTCCCCCCCCTCCTTCTTCTTCCCCCAGCTTTTATTGCTGAGCATGACATCCTATGGTGTGGGATATCCCTTTGGTCAGTTGGGGTCGGCTGTCCCGGCTGTGTCCCCCCCCAAACTTCTTGTGCACCCCCAGCTTGCTCGCTGGTGGGGTGGGGTGAGAAGCAGAAGAGGCCTTGACTCTGTGTCAGCACTGCTCAGCAGTAACTAAAACCTCCCTGTGTCACCAACACTGCTTTCAGCACAAATCCAACACAGAGCCTTATACCAGCTGCTATGAAGAAAACTAACTCTATCCCAGCCAAAACCAGCACAAAATCCGAGGCTTTAAAACTTCTTATTAATAGAAAGGGACCTGATTCAGATATTTTGAAAGGTTTCTAAGGTTTCTGTTCTTTCCCATATATATGTGTGTGTGTAGATGTATGTATTAAAATCCCATAATACGTGCACACATGCAAATGTGTATCTGGGAGTACCTGAGTTTACTGTAGTGGATTTGTTTGAGACACACTTCTAAATTAATGAATAAATAAATATCATCAGTATCCTACTGCTTTTGAATAGTATTTAAATATAAGTAAATTTCATTAATATTTTGAGGACAAAACTAACTATTTGCCTAGACATTAATATTTTGTACATTTTAGTATTTCTTGGCTGAAAAATGGCAGCCCTTCTTTTTTTGGAAAGTGCATGTTTCAAAATACATGTACCTGACCACTACTGTTCTGCTATTCCTTCCCCAAATCCCTTGCCCAGTTCAACTTCTCTGTTGTAAAATTGGACAACTGTGGTTTAAATTCAAAGCTTGGATACTCGCATTCAGATGTAATCTATAAGGTACATTTTCCCCTTGTGCATATTCTTTCAAACTCAAACAAAAAATGATAAATATCTCAAAGAATTCTTCTGTGTATTTCTAAGGTTTGCTTTTCTACATAATGTCTGGTAATATCTTTTAAAAAATATTTTAAATGCTTTCTTCCAGTACTTGTATTTGGTAATTGTTTAATAAAATATAATTAGGATTTTTTTCTTGATATTTCAATAGGCTTATATAGCTTTGTGGTATTCTGCTTCAGCAGAACATTGTTTATCTTTGAAGTGATGTATTTCATAAATTGCGTATTTGCCAAGGTAAATTAAGAAACAGAAATTACTCTATGTGGTTGGCTCTTAACACTGTTTTAGGCTTATGAAGTACATTTGTCTTTCTGTCTGGCAATCTGCTATAAGCACACTGGGCCAAGCTGATCCCTGATAAATCTCCTGGGATCAGTAGATTGTTGAATTATCTGTTTGGGCATGTATGTCTCAACCCATTCCCCTGCTGCACCTCCAGTTATTTAACAGACGAATTGGATTGGTCTAAGCAACCTATGTCACTATTACAGTTGACTAAAATCAGCAGAACTTCACATCCACGTGCCCAATTAAGGAGCCGTATTTTATGTTTCGGATAAATTGATCTCAAGGTCCTTAAAGGCTGCATAGTATAAGGAAGTTCAAGATAGGGAGCGTATTTTTATAGAAAAGGCAAAACTTTCTTTTTAAAGTCTTTTAAATTAAAAAGGCAAGATAATTATTACTTTTAATTGTAAAATTGTAGGTATACGTAAGTAGTGGAATTGTAAAATAAAATTAATTTACCTTATTTCTAGAGGGTAACTTTCATAATGAACAAAAGTTGAGAATTTTGTGTTTTGGGCTACTTGCATATTTTGCAGGATAAGGATCTTGATAGTTCTTCTGTTTCTTGTTCTCTGATACGATGCAGCAGTTTTCAGAGAATTATAATCTATTTTAAATAAATATTTTTAAGGCAGATTATTTGTCCTGTGTCATTTATTGGCACATTTTAGCTGACCAAAATACATCTCTGATTATATTTCTTACTTCTATTTATCTTAAATTTGCCTATTTAGGTTTGCTATAAAGAGATAAATATCAGATTTTTAAGCCATTGTTAGAAACAATGTAAAAAGTGTCTTTGTACACTGTAGTCTGCTTAATTCTGTTGCTAATATTAATACTCTTATACCGGTCTGCAAAAAATTAATGAAAAATATACTGTAAATTAAAATGTATTTTCTTGTAGTGACAGTTCAAATTCTTAGGAGATAGCTCTGAATATTGGACCGTCTAATTAAAGTTCATGTTTTCATTGTTTTTCTGTAGATAAATATAATTCAGGGCATAGTGGCCGAAATCAACATAAAGACTGGTGAATCTGAATGCCAGTATTACAAAGAAAGACTTATTTATCTTGAAGAAGGCCAAAGGGATTCATTGATTGACAATTCACGTGTTGTATGTTGTCATGGTGAACTGAAGAACAACAGGGGAGTGGTAAGGAATAAATATTTTTTCATAAATAGCTTTTAAATATATTTTCATTTTGTATGACAGCTAAAAGAGCTGTGAGTATATATACAGAAACATTACCCTCTCTCATGTAGGAAGTTGATAAATATTTACTATTACATATAACACTCATCTCTTTTGTTAGCAGTCAAGTATCTGTATATGGAGATAATAAGCTTATGTGTGTCTCTGTCTCTTAAGGGGACCTAACAATATCCTGGCTAAATTGTAAATCTGATAAATTTCAATAAAACTTGCAGGGGAAAAAAGCAAGTAAGAAACATATTTCTGGTCTCAGAGACATGATAGTAATGTCTATAAAGACACACAAAATATAGTAACAAATTTTAAATCTGTCAAAGGCTGTGGTTATTAAGAATGTTTTACTTGATAGTTTGTTGAAGTCAAAGTTAATTTATTGACCAGAGAAATTTGGTATTTGATACTGCGAATTCCAGTCTCCAGGAGTCTGCACTATTGGTAAGTGTCATAAGCTGAGCTTTCTGTTTCTAAAAAAAAAACAAACATGCAGATTAGCAGAGAGATTAATAGAGGAGAAACCAGTCATTCTTAGATCCTCCCCCCCCAAGGTTAAATAGAAATAACATGAAATTTTGAATGGAAAAACAATGAAAAAAGGTCTTTTTCTCATTAACTGAACTTACGAAAGTTTTATTAAAAAAACCCAGCAAACAAAGTAAGCAGGACTCTAAATGTATTTTTCAGCATTGGGAGCACTTATATGTAGCATGTTCGTGATCATGTTTTACCATACAGCTGAGATGGAATGATGAAATGGATGCTGTTTTCTGGTTCCCCTGATAAAGATCAGGCAGGAGTTAACGTATAGCAAACTAGCAGGAAGAAACTGGCAATTTTCATCTTTCTGGTGAACTATATTTATTCCATCCACGCTACCCCTGCCTGCCTTTGGTAGCATTAACAATAAGTATATAATTAATTCTTCTCAATTTATGAACAGTATTTAAAATTCCCCAGGATTTTTGGGAGGTTTCCACACTGAGGTATTCCTTGAATACAGTTGACAGTGTGGGATATTTTTATGTTTGTGCATTTCTTTGATCTGGGGTGAAAAACAGATCATTTATATCTTAATGTTATCAGTCTCCTTTTCACACCTGCTATTACAGAGCATTAGCTTTTGCAGCAAGTAAGAGATCTCACCACTGAAAGGAGTTTCATATGACATCCACTAAAATCAGCCATAACTAAAGCTTTACATCATGAAGAACCTGCAACACTTTGTGGATGATAGTTTGAAAACTGAGTTTCAAAATAAACAAGGTATTTTTGTTGCACATTTAGAATATTAAAAAAAAAAACAAAAGAAAACCCAGCCCTACTTAATAAGCAAACATCCATACCTGTATATACCTCAAATGTTTAATCTCACACATTTTTGCTTTCTTTCATATTTCTTTCATATGAGAAGGTAGCCATTTGTTGAACATATAAACTGAAACACAAAATGGATAGATTCTTTACCAGACTCTGCATAGAGTCCCTGTTAATATAAAAGATGACAGCACTGCGGAATAAGGAACAAACAAAAAGTTTAGGCATGTGTCCTGCAAAGACTTAGAGAGGCGCAAGTGGAAGAAAATTGGACTCTTCGTGGATATAAAATGAGGCATCTGTTGTGGAAAAATAGAATGAAGATGGACTTTTTCAGTATCAGAAGACTGCCAAGGCATATTGGGAAAGGTTTCTGCTATAATTACCTCTTTCATTATAGTTTTCTGAAAACAAGAGCTACTGGAAGATGGAACAGTGATCTAAATGGGTCTGAAGACTTGTCTTGTGTTAAAACTGCAAATAGTGCGTCTATTTAGATTTAGAGTCAGGTCAACTTTAGAAGCAAAGAACAGTTACTCGTGATTGGGAAGAAAATTTTGGCAGTGAAAAAAAATTAATTTCAATGCATGATACCCAGTGAAATGAATTTAAAATTTCAGTTTGTTTATTATTGGAAGCCACTGGAGATTGCAAAATGTGAGGAGGAACGTCATTTAAAGATGGTAACAGGTGACTTGTGCCACCTAGGAGCAAAAGTAATTTTCTGAGCTTCAAAGAGCTGTGGTGAAGCTGATTGTGAGCAGCCTGTGAATTGTAAACAGATTGCTCATAATTGTTCATTGAAACTATTTGGATGAATAAGATTGCCCGTTTCTTAGTAACACAGGCAGTAGAGAAAAGTTAAAGTGGGTGTCAGAAAGAAGAATGCGTGTAAGCATGCTGCTATAGAGAGAGCTTTGAAATGTCATGCACATTTCAAGGCCTCAACGCTAAAAGATTAATTAGGATCATGATGTAAGAAACTGAGGAGAGGACAGGAAAAATAATTTTAGAAGTTCTTAAATTGTTGTATTTACGTACTTGCATGCTGTTGCACCAGAAGACTTTTAAATAGTGGGAAGAGAGGAATCTTTATTTTAACTGTTGAAAACACAAGGTTATAACATACTAGAGTTTAAATTTAGTTTAATGATGTTCTAAAAAAGGAATAATGCTTTATTAACTTTTAACAGAAACTGCACGTCTTTCTCTTTGAAGAAGTGTTGGTGATTACTCGAGCTATCACCCATAATGAACAGCTCTGCTACCAGCTGTATCGGCAGCCAATTCCGGTGAGGGAGCTTGTGCTAGAAGACTTGCAAGATGGAGAGGTGCGATTGGGTGGATCCATACGTGGTGCATTCAGCAACAATGAGAGAAGTATGACTACACCTTTTTTTATTTGCTCATACAGCATCATTATAACCTTAAGACACCTGCCAATGAGACATCAGAATGTTTTCTCTAAAATTCACATTATCTATATCCAACATCTTGATTTCTATTTCTATTTCTATTGGTTTATTATGTTGTAACTTGCTTCTTTTAGATTGTTTCTCAAAGTTCTTTATATTGATAATGGGATTTCTCCACATACCTGCTTCTGTACTGAATTGAGAAGGGGAGAATATGTAGAATGTAGTGGCAAAACCACAAAATTATAAGCAAGTGAATTTTGAAATCTTAAGCTTTAGCTATTATGACTTTCCTTGTATTATGGAGACTTTGATTGCTATTCCATAATTAAGTCTTTCAGCTGACAGATAATTAATGTAGTGCTCAGTGTTAAGGCTACAGCTATTCATGTTATTGTCAAGAGGTAAGAGTTAATGTCCTTCTAATTAAGCATATTATAAAGATGCTTGTTTATATTACAAGGGTCCTTTGAATTTCTGTGAAAACTTTGAGGGTTTTTTTGTATGTATTCGCTTTATTAGTGAAGTGAATGGAAGAGATGAGGCAATCTCCAGCTGACACAAGGCACAATGAAGGTTCTGGAAATCTGCTTTGCAGAGAAGTAGGAGGAGAGGTGTGGAAGTTTGGGAGAAGCCTTAATCCTGCTCATTCACTTAAAGCTTTATGGGTAGCTCATGCATGGCAGAACAAAATTGTTTAACCCAGCAATAAGAAATGATCAGAAGTGCTTGTGGTGTTCTGTGTTCTTGCTCCACAAAACAAGGAGATAACCAGACTCCTCTCTGGTCTGACATGGTATTGGCAGAAAAAACACCTTAAGTCAAAGATTTTGCAGATTCTGTTATTTAAATACACTCTTTGAATGTTTTGGCTGAATGGATTTTATAATCAGTGTTTTGACACGTATTGTTTCTTTCAGTCAAAAACTTCTTTAGAGTCAGCTTCAAAAATGGATCTCAAAGCCAGACTCACTCACTCCAAGCCAATGACTCCTTCAACAAACAACAGTGGCTTAACTGTATCCGCCAGGCCAAAGAAAAAGTTACGTGTGCAGGCAAAGCTGGCATGCTGAACTCGGAAGCACATTTTCTTTTGTCACCAAATGGAAGCAAAGTACTCCAGGGAGAAACCACACTCGAGCAAATGGACCAATCAGACTGTGAGTCAGACTGTAGTATGGACACCAGTGAGATCAGCATCGACTGTGAACGTATGGAACAGACAAACTCTTGTGAAAATGAAAAGCAAATAGAAACCAACGTTTGACAAAAACTTACAGTTCATGGAAGAAAATCTGTCTCTTACCTGTACAGTATTTGCATTCCGTACATGGAACCATTTGGAGAAGCACTTTTAAAACATTTTTTGTGACAATGTCAATGCAGTCCTTGTATTCGTACCTATGAGTGTAGTACTGTAACTGCCTATCTGTATAAGCTGGAATCTCTTGCAGCTCATGTCCTGTGATTATATTCCATAAACATCTAAGATGGATGAAAGAGGTACTTGACCAGTTATTCTCAGTGTCCTGCTGTAAACAGAATCTCTAAACTACTGTTTATATGTGCATTACATAAAGAATCTTTTCATTTTTAAGTACTTTACTTGCCCTTTAATGGGGCAGCTGAAGATGTGGACTTAATATGGAGTTTCAGGATGGATATCGAGATCGTAAGTTTTCATAAAGGCATGGAAGGAAAACATAGTTTCTTGGAAAAAAAGAAAAACGTTTTGCAATAACCAATCTGAACTCTTGCGGTATTAACAAGAACTATAAACAATGGGCCATGTAACTAGTGACTCTTTAGGGATTAATTTTTCAAAATGAAGCACTGTCCTAAGATCCAGCAACCAAACTTAATGAAATCTGGTCAGTTAAAGTGGTCAGCATAGTGCTATGGTTTATTTATCAAAACATGTAATGCTAGAAATAATCAACTGAAAAAAAAACCCAACCAAAAAACCCAAACCCAACCAAACCTCTACAGCCAGCACTGAATTAAATGAAATGCTGAGAATACTGGGTATTTGTAAATAGGCTGGTAGTTTGCTTTCAGTGCCATATATATATATTCATATATATATATATGTTTTTATATATATATGTATATATATTTTATCCCAAACAGGGTAAGAATGGAAAAAAGTTTTTGCTTGTGAATAGGCCCTCTTCAGCATTTTGCACTCCACTGACCTCCACTGTTGGTTTTAAACACCACTAAACTGATGTTAAAACATTTAATTTTCTGTAAATGTCTGTTTACAATTACATATAGTTGGTTTTTAAACTAAGTGACAATTTTAAATAAATGGTGCTCTACAAATACCCTATGGGATTATGTAGAGAAAGTTTAAACAAAAAGGGAATTGCTTTTCCTTTAGGATGTATTACATCCTTTATATTTTTCTCAAATTTTGTTTGAAAAGTTTTTGTTGCATTTAATCTCATGCTGTAATTGGAAATGTTACTGTGTTTTCTGGTGGCCAATTTAATCTACTCATTAAGATGAGGAGCAGATGAGTCACTTAAATGCAGTCTAAAACACTCAGTTCAACATCCTGTTACGTTTCAGGAATCCCTGGGTAATATTTTATTTCTTAGTAGAAGAAATAATGGCAGTGCTGTATGGCAAGCTATGAAAATGATATATTAATAAATTTAAATGATCCTTGATATTACACAAGATAACCTGTGCAAAGTACTCGTACCAACAAAAGTAGAAAAACTGCTAAGTTATTGCCAAAAATATTTTTCTTGTGTTCTACAAGTTTACAGAAAACAGTAAATGTCAAGTATCTTACATATATATATGCTCATGTGCATTACAGAAATCAGTGACAAGATGATAAACAATATAAAACAAGGTATTTTTATTTTTTAAAAAAATGTCATTTTTACCCTATAGAACATTATTCCTGTATTTATAGTTTTTCAAAAAAGTCAATTTTCTTTTCTGTTTCAGGCTTTGTAATTTATTTCAACTGCTTCATTTTTAGAGCTGAATGAGTATGCCAGTGAAGATGATAGAAAGGAAGAATTTGCAGAAGAAAAGGCATAGGAAAGTATATTAGATGATGAACCATTTTCATAAAACCTGTTCAGCAAAATGTTTAAAAAGAGCAAAAAGCATGTAAAGTGATCAGATAGAGAAGAAAGAATGAATGTGTGTATTGACTTTTTTTTTTTTAATAGTAGCCTTAAACTTTTCTGGAAGCATTTCAAATAAATTACATTAAACCATTTTGATTTTTATTTGGTTTGGTTGTTTGTGCAAGAAGACCACAAAAAGACTTCAACGGTGCACACAGTGAGTCTCAACATAGGTGACCAACACTTATATTTTGGTTTTCGTGGAAGTGTTACATATTTGGATCTAATTTGCTAGATACAAAATAGTAACCAAGAAACAAGTCACTGCACTCAATTCAGCACGTTCCCCAAAGTTTTGTATTATATAATCAATTTAGTAAGTAGGTGGAACAAAAAATTAATATCCTGCCATCAGTTTCTCTCTTCTGATTCCTTGTGGGTCACATCTCTACTAAATATATATTATTCCAAAACATTGAGATGATTAATTTTGGGGCAGGTAAAAAGCCACCAACCAGCCACTGAATCTCAGAAGATTAATTTACATTTGTGTACTATCATTTGGCATCATGTTTGGCATACTGCAGTGCAAGTGTTTCAGTTCTGCTTTGCAG